ATTAAAAGGCTATTCACAAGAAGAAACAAATAGCCAGCAAACATATGAAAACACTGCACCTCAATTCAGGAAATGCAAATTAAATCCATTATAAAAGACATGTGTATGCCCATTAGATTGCAGAAGTTAGCAAGTCAGCCAAAATCAAGTGTGGCAAGGTGAAGATATGGAGAAACAGGCATTCTCATACGTTACTGATGGGAATGTAAATTGGAGTAGCTACTTTAGAGAGCATGTCAACACAGCAGTTTCAGAAATTCTTGCACATTTATCAGGAGATATGTACAAGAAAATTCATTACAATATTGTTTGTAATAGAGAAGAATGTGAAACATGCTAAATAGTCCTCTAGAGAAGAATAAATATATTATTTTTATGTGACACAATAATCACTCCAGTGAAAATGTATGAACCAAAGCAACTTGGCTAAATCTGAAAAAGATTGCTTTCATTATAAGATGGCAAGTGATTCATACAGGACCACTTATATGATGATTGAAAACATGTAAAACAATACTATTTAGTTTATGGATGTATATGTGTATATGTAAAATATATATAGTGTGTATGTCTGTGTGTGTGTGTGTGTGTGTATGTTTGTATGAAATAAAAGTAAAGACATTCCCTCCGAAGAGGAGAAAAGGGATTGGAATTGGGGGCATAAAGAGAGCATTAACCTGTTATGTTTTATTTCTTAAAAACAAAAATACTATAGCAAAATATCAAAGGATTTCACTCCAAATCTCCATATCATTGTTATTAGGATTAAATAACTGTATGCTTTTTATAAAAAAGAAGTTCATCTTAAGAGAACTGGACAGACAAAATTATAAAGTTAAAATTGTCATTTGGGGCTGATTTGTTTCCCAGATTCATTTCAAGTGCTGTTCTCCAGGTCAGAAAACTTTTTCATTCTCTTTCATCCTTTGCGAGATTATACTCCTTTTTGTACATTTGGGGAAACATCCAAGTGTTATAATCATTTGTGTGACAAACAAAAGAAGCTCTTGGTTTTAATAATTACAGGAAGATTAAGATGAGAATTATGACTACCTAACAAAAAACAAATGAAATGTGTATTCACTGTTTCAGAGATATTCAGAAATGTTTTCACATTTCATAGCCATAATAGACCTGATCATATCAAAGTAATGTCCTTTAAGTGACTGACTAAATCAAGACCTTCCTGTAACTTCAGCTCTCCTACTTCTACTCACCTACTGTTAGAGTTTTCTTAATATATTCTCTTTTGATCTGTTATCTCCTTCACTCTTATACTATTTCCTACACAGTCGGAAATTTTAAAAGCAGATCCCAAGGGCCAACCCCATGGCTCACTCAGGAGAGTGCGGCGCTGGGAGCGCAGCAGCGCTCCAGCCGCGGGTTCGGATCCTATATAGGGATGGCCAGTGCACTCACTGACTGAGCGCAGGTGGGTTGCGATCCCCTTACCGGTCACAAAAAGGACCAAAAAAAAAAGCAGATCCCAAAACAAACAGTCCTTGCCTCAGGATCAGTTTCTATGTGGACCTAAAAGGTGACACTAAATGATTAACTTCCAAATAGTACCAAAAATATTTGCATTATAAGAATATTCCTGTAAGCTTAAGAAGTCTTCATTTCAAGCAACGTTGAGGAAATGTTTAGACATTTTCTTTGTTTCTTTATTGAGGGGCTTTATGGGAAGCAAAGTAGCCCATGACATGGGTTACATACAACCTTCACATGGTTGTCAAATTAGCTTACTGCCTCAAACTATTATCTTCTTTTCCACTGATGCTAACTAGAAATATTCTCCTGATTTTAACTCTTAAAGTTCTCTGTCTCTTCTGCTCATTCCCAGAGATTGAATTTGAATACAGCAGGCATTTAATAAATGCATGTTCATGAGACCAGCAAGGTTGACCTTGGTCCAAGTGAATTATATTGTTTCTAGCCCCAGCCTTCAAAGATAATATCTGATAGATTTCTGTCCTTTGGATTAGAAGAAGCTGGCCTAATCATGTAGCTGACCCCTTCCCAAGGTATTAGCTAAATTCATATTGGGTATGCCCCTTGCTGCCCTATATCATCATTATCTGTAGACAGGATATGGACATCTATCTCAATGTATAAAAAAAAATCAGAAAAATCATGATTTATAACATTCCAATTATTTTTACTTTTACCTGTCCCTAACTTTGGTTCTCTCCTTAATCACTAGCTGAACTTTGTATATTACAAGTAAATCTTTCTATTGCTGTGCCCTCTATCACAAGCCCTTATTGGTTCCTCCTGACCATCTGTGTTTGTTGCTCCTTCCATACAGGAAAACTGTTCATAATAATGTTAGCAAACATTTAATAAGCATTTGCTTTGTGCACTGCTCTATGTACTTTACAAATATCATCTATCTCATTTCATATGTATAATAATTTTAGGTACTATTATTATAGAAGAAATAGAGGCACAGGAGGATACTTTATTTAATCTATAAAAATCTTCCATGATATTTCTGTGAGGAGCAAAAATGAAATCTATATCAAAGAGATTTGTAATAACAAAAGTGAAGTTCAAATATTGTACTATTGCCTGCTTCATAATAAGGCTCAGTGAATGTTTGTTATATGAATGAATGAGTAAATATTATTACAGGAACATATCATGTTTTTGTAGGTAGAGTCCTCAGAATAATGTAAAATATAAATATGCCAAACATTGTATCTGTAACTCAGTAGTTACCCCTTCTAGTACAGACTAGTTTCCTTCTTCTCTTTCCTCTTTTCTCTAATTTCACAATCAAAATGATTGTCTGATTGAATATCTTTAAAAGGTCATGATGAATTATTCTGTAGTGTTTGAAATGGTATGCCCAGAAAGGTCAACTTTAGTTTTTGGTATGAAGTGTCACAGAGATTTGTTTTTCCTGGGCACTCTTCTTTTTCCAAAGAAAAGATGGCAAGAAATTTAGAGCAGGGTGCCCTCTTGAGGAAATTTTAGCACCTTACTTCTCAAGAGCTGGCCTTGAATGAAATGAGAAATCCAGATAGATGATGTATACTATTGATGAAGCTCAGATAAATAAAACATTTAAAAGTAAAAATAACCAAATACCAGATATTTAAGAATTAAGATTCTTAATTATGTGATCTAAGATAGCAACTGTAAATAAGAATTTTTAAATGAAAACAAAAACCTCTGGAACATATTTCATTTCTTCTTATTCGCTTCCTTCATGAAATATTTATTAAACACCTATTTTGTGCCAGGAAGTCTGCTGAGTGCAGTGGTCAATAAAATATAACCTCTGCCTTCATGAAGCTTACAGTTTGTGAGGGAGCTCACAGTGAAAGAAAACAAATATATACATAACTACAAACTAAGAAAAGTACTATAAAGGAAATGAGAAGGAACTAGAGTAGAGAATAACAAAGTAAATTCTGCCCAGGGTGTCAAGGAAAGCGTCTCTGAGAGGAAATAATTGAGCTGAGTCAATTTGCTTTTCAGTTCATTCCACGTCTGCCATCTGATATGGACAGTCTGATGGACCCCTCTTTCCCAGCCTTGGTCTTTCTTATCTCTGCCCCAAATCTTGAGCTGAGTTAATCCTATCTTTTCCCCAAATCTTGGTCTGATTTAATCCTATCTCTGCCCCTATGGGCAAGCAAGCAAGCCTCATTCCTTCTGCATCTCATTGTTGTTCTAGCTAGTCTCCTTTGCCTTAGGGCCTCACATTCTTCACAATGGGGGGAACTGCTTGATTAACAAATGTCTTCCTTACATGTGATAGCCCCTCATAGTAGTACATCAGTGCTTTATAATAATTAAAGGCCCCATTTCCAACAAGGTTAAGGATGTAGAGGGCCTCAGAAGATGAAAAGTACAGATGACTCTGCCTGCCACTATGCTTTGAATAGGGAGAGATAAATAGGTATGAAGCAGGCAGAGAATTTGATCATGCAATACCATCTGGTCATGTTGATTGAAATATCAGTGTTACCAAGCATGTAGAGGCCTCCAACCAGATTGGAAGTGAGGAACTAAACCTTAGGGAAGAGCTTGAAAGAACTATTTTTAGTGAGTTTTTTTTTGTTTCAAAGCTCCCATATTACACAGACTTACTGTGTAACAGTTGGCCTATATCCCCCCAACACTGTCTTGCTCTAGCCTTTGTAGCTAAGCTATGTTCTCCAGGTGGGTTGATTCTACAAAATTGGAGGATTTAACTGATGTGAAGAGTATTACCTGCAATGCTTTCTGGGTGGCATTTAGGTGACTGTATGAGTCTGGGACCCACACTTTGAATAAACTGTTTCTACCTTCAATGTAACCTCTTCAAGAAAACTAACCACCTGTCCGTATTAACCAGAGGACAATGAACAAAACATTTAACCCCTTTGAATCTTAGTTCCCTCACCTTTAAAGTGGAGTTTAACATCTCTACTTATTTCATAAGGTTATTATACTTAGGATATAAATAACAGGTACTATATTGGTCGAATGTGCTGAATCTAATACACCCACATATATCTGCTAGTAGATAGCAGTTTGGAAAATAAAACAAAAACCATAAAACGTGAAAACTTATTTGACCCAGCAATTTCATTCCTGATAATTTATTCTTATATAAAAATTAATTTTAAAAAAACTATATGAAAAAAATGTACATTGAAGCTTTTTTTATATAAAATAAAATATTGGAAACATTCTAAATATCTAACAGTAATAGACTAGTTAAATAAAACATGTTGTCTTCATCCAATGAAATATTGACCAGCCACTGTGTAAATTATATTCATGGAGAAAGTGGTTGAAAAGAAACATGAAAAAATAAAATAGTTGATATCTTAGTGTAGTGGAATTATAAGTATTTTTCCTTTTATTAATTTCTCTGAATGTTATTAATCTAGGAGAATAATTAAAATACTTAAAACATTTTAAAATTCAAAAAAATTTTTGGCCTCAAAGTAAATTCCATCTTATTGTCTCTTGTTTTTTGTGTTTTGTTTGGTTTTTTTTAGGGAAATTATCGTTTCATGAAACTCTTACTCACACGCAGAGCAAACTGGATGCAAAAGGATCTAGAAGAGATGACTCCTTTGCACTTGACCACCCGGCACAAGAGCCCTAAGTGTTTGGCACTTCTGCTGAAGTTTATGGCACCAGGAGAAGTGGATACACAGGATAAAAACAAGGTAACGGACTGTCAAAATCAAAGACAAATAAGAGCAGAAAGCAAATGCTTCCTATTGTGATGTGAAACCTCAAGGAAGAAGGCCTAAATGCCTAAATTACCACCCATACACATGGTAGAACAATTCCAAGTCTCCATACATTCCAGGGAAGTATTTCACTTAAATTCTGTCATTTTATTCTACTAGCAATCCTATGTGGTAGATACAATATGAAAGGTTTGGGAAGAATTGGTAGCAAGAGGGGAAATCAGGCTAGAAGGAATTTATTGGCATAGGCAGCGTGGCAGAGGCATAGGGAGAGAACCTAGCCTGTTCTTATCACCCCCACCCCCGACTCCAATGGCGTTTATATTTCTTCTTGTGTTTAGTTGTGTTGTTCTGATTGGCCATAGCTTATGTTAATGAGGAGTTAAATGAAATATCCAATGGGAGTTGTTGAGGCCTTATGTTAATTAGGTGATTTGGGGGTTTGTGATTATTAGTTCCCTTAGTATGTAAAGTAGGGTTTCAGAGGGGACCAATGGCTTGGAGTTCTGTTGCAGTTGTGAATTCCTTTGTCCTTAATTTACCCAAAAGTCCCATGGGGGGGGGGGAACCACCATTTTGAGTATCTTTGGGTGGTGCCATCTTAAGTAGTCCTCCCTGAACCTAATATTATCATCCCCTTTTTATAGATGGGGAAACTGAAGCTCAGAAAGATTAAAATTTTGCCCAAGATCCAAGTGGCAGAACTAGAATTCAAATCCAGGCCAGTCTAACTCCAAGACCCAATATTTGACAGATATTCATGATAGTTACTATAGGTGTTTAGACTTCTGGTGGCTAAATGTCCAAGGCATTGTACTAAGTGCATCGTAGTTTAATGGTCTAAGCTTTGCAATAAGACTTCTTCGTTTTCAATACAGAACCTACCGCTCACTTGTTCTCTGTCCTTGGGCAAATTACTTACCTCTTCTATGCCTTAGTTTTCTCATATGTGAAAAAAAAGGATAATAGGATTATTAAACATAAAATGAGATAATACATATAAATTGGTGAGCATAATGCCCAGTGCACAGTATGCTCTCAATAAATGTTAGCCATAAAATAATTATTAGTTTCATTTCAGTTCTAACATCTGCTCTGGCATTTGTTGCTAGGATTCATTATCTTTCCTGCTCTTGAATTTTGACATATTGTACACACTGGTTATTGTTTTGATTGATGCTGTGATTGTTCTTTACAGGGAAAAAATGTGGTCTTTAGTTAGACAAGTGCAATAATTCTCTTTCTTTCCATCAGGCACTTAGTCATAGAGTCTTGTTAACTCCAATGCTCCCATGTAATAAAACTCTTATGATTAAATCCATGGGGTTTATATTCAATAATCCTTTCACTCTAATAGTGTTCTTTAAGTATTTTCAGATTTCATTTAGTAGTCATCCAGAGTTCTGAGATCAAGTTTAACTTTACAACTATTGTACTTTAATATTATTCCTAACTCAAAGCATTTATAATGCTAATATTTCACTGAAAAAAAATACTTCAATCATTCTACAAAGACCCATTAATCACTTAAGGATCTATAAATGTCTTTGGGCATCATAATGTCTTCCCTAATATATTCTAGGAACATCCTGCTGTCTTCCAGTATCTGTATATTCTTCTGTTGTTGAATAAGGATGGGAGGTTACCTAGTCAGACAGATGGAAAATGGATCTGCATAGTCCAGGCAGACATAGAGAAGAGAGCAAGCCTAGAGCAGTGATTCTCAAACTATCTGTGGCGAAGAATTACTTTGGTTCTTTAAAATTTCTAATCTGTCGCAGATTTAATCATTTTATAACATACAGCAAATATGAACAAAAAAATAAACAACCTAAAGAATGGGCAAAGAACTGGAATAGACGTTTCTCCAATGAAGATATACTAATGGCCAAGAATCACATGAAAAATGCTCAACATCACTAATCATTAGAGAAATGCAAATCAAAATAATGGTGAGCTAATACTTACATACCCTTCAGGATGGCTATTATCACAAAAACAGAAAATAACAATTGTTGAAAGGATGTGGAGAAATTTGGATGCAGTGCCTTACTGGTGGGAATGTAAATTGGTACAGCCATTGTGGAAAACAGCATGGCAATTCCTCAAAAATTAAACATAGAATTACCATATGATCCAGCAATTCTACTTCTGGGTATATATACCCAAAGGAATTGAAGTCAGGAACTCAACAGATATTAGTACATCCATGTTTAATGGCAGCATTATTCACAATAGCCAAAAGATGAAAACAACCCAAATGTCCATTGATGGATAAGTAGGTAGTCAAAATGTGGTATCTATATCATATTTATATATGCAATGGAATATCATTCAGCCCTTGAAAGGAATGAAATTCTGATACATGCTACAACATGGATAAACTTTGAAAAAAAAAGTTTTAAGTGAAATAAATCAGACACAAAGGGACAAATATTGTATGATTCCACTTATGAGGTACCTAGAGTAGTTAAATTCATTGCGACATAAAGTAGAATGATGATTTCCAGGAGCTGATGGGAGTTGAGAATGAGTAGTTATTGTTAAATGGGTACAGAGTTTGAGTGTGGGAAGATGAAAAAGTTCTGGAGATGGATGGTGGTGATAGTTGTACAACAATGTCACTATACATAATGCCATTGAACTGTACACTTAAAAACTTAAAACAGTAAATTTTATGTTATGTATATTTTACCACAATAAAAAAAAAGAATTACTAGAAAAATAAAAAACAAAGATGTAGAAAATACAAGCCCAAACTTTTTACTATTTGGTTCAACAGCATAATATTACAGTTCAGTAAATATGTATAATCAGAACAAACATAACATAGGAAGAATAAGGAATTACAGAACTGTGCATATTGCTTATTGAAAATGTGGTTATAGACAATTAATAATTGCTATTATACTTGCGACTTTTTTTGGTTCTGCAGTTGTTACTAAACAGAAGTAATGAGTTAAATAGTGACTCTTCATGTTAAATGCCTGTAGGTACACTTTGAGTGAATACCATGTATGTCAGTTTTTTTTGTTGTTTTTTTTTTTTTTGTCTTTTGTCTTTTTCCGTGTCGGGCAACGGATCGCAACCCTCAGTGTTGCCCCCGTACCGGACCGGGGACCGGCAACGGGATCGCAACCCTCGGTGTTGCTCCCGCGCCTCGCTCAGCCAGTGAGCAGGAACCGGTCTGTATGTGGGATCCGAACCCTCGGGCGGGAGCGCCGCCGCGCTTCCCAAGCGGCGCACTATCCAGTGCGCCACCGGGCCGGCCCCAGTTTTTAAAGTTTTTAATGTGACAGATGAGTTTGGTCGTTGCTCATTAAGTTACCTGCTTCTAGATTGGATTGATGACAGTGTTACTCACATTGGAGAATGTCTATCTAAAAAGTTTCTATGTTTTTTCCTTAGTAATTCTCCTAATAGGGAAATGAGTCTTACAGAGGTATGTTGATGAGAATGGCAGAAGAGATTTTAAAGCGACTTCAACAAGTTCAGGATGATCATTATCTAAAACAAAGCAAATGCTGCTGTGTTTTCCAAATGTATCTTTTCATCAGTAACTAGATCTAACAATTTATCCTATAAAATTATAAATTTAAATTTGTCTTTTGGGCCGGCCTGTGTTTCACTCGGTAGAGTGCGGTGCTAGTAACACCAAGGCCACGGGTTCGGATCCCATATAGGGATGGCCGGTTCGCTCACTGGCTGAGCGTGGTGCTGACAACACCAAGACAAGGGTTAAGATCCCCTTACCGGTCATCTTTAAAAAAAAAAAATTTGTCTTTTGATATAAGGAATGGATTTCGAATCCATGAATTTCCTGAGCATGGATCTTCTTTTTGATAGATATTAAAATTCAGAACATTCTATCAAATTCTTAAGGTGCTTGGTGATGATCAAATGTGCAATCTCAAGATCATCACTTACTTCATTGATAATTATTCATAAATTGTGGGTCTGCTTTTCTCTTTCTTAGTGTTACTATTAGTACCTGATAAACTAAATGACTGTCATGATTAAGACATCAGATTCTGGAGTCAGAGACTGCCTGGTTTAAAATCTTAAGTCAGCCACTTACTACCTTTATGTCCTTAAGCAGATTTCTTATCCTTTTTCTGCTCAGTTTCCTCATCAATCACATGCAAGTTAAAAAGAGTACTTATCTCCCAGAAATGTTGTGATGACTGCATGAGGTAAAATATATAAAACTCTTACAACAGTGCTTGTCACCCAGTAAATGCTTGGGAAAAGTTAGTTGTTGCTGTTGTTCTTGTTTTGAGAACCTGTCAATTTTGCAGCAAACAGCGCTGCATTGGAGTGCCTACTACAATAACCCCGAGCACGTGAAGCTGCTTATCAAGCATGATTCCAACATTGGGATTCCTGATGTTGAAGGCAAGATCCCACTTCACTGGGCAGCGAACCATAAAGATCCAAGTGCTGTTCATACAGTGAGATGCATTCTGGTGAGTAGAGTAGTCCTGCTAGATTTGAATGGCCTTTTTTAGAAAAATTTTTCTTACGAAATAGCCAATATATACAAAGGCATATATATGAAATACAAGCAAATTATGAAGCAAAAAATACAATAAACATGTGGACTCATCCCCCAAGAAAGAGAACATTTTAGTAGCACTATTTAAGACCACAAGGAAGTTTCCTATGTTCCAATTTCCAAATGCACTCACTTGCCCTATGCCATGTTCATTTCCCCCATCAACTACTTTCCTGAATTTGTATTTATATTCCCTTACTTTATTTTTTACTTGTTTTTATTAAATAGTGAATATCAAAATATAGTTTTAGGGCCGGCCCGGTGGCGCACTGCTACAGTGCGCCGTGTGGGAGCGTGGTGGCGCTCCCGACGAGTGTTCGGATCCCACATACAGACCGGTTCCTGCTCACTGGCTGAGCGAGGTGTGGGAGCAACACTGAGGGTTGCGATCCCGTTGCCAGTCCCGGTCCGGTACGGGCGCGACACTGAGGGTTGCGATCCGTTGCCAGACGTGAAAAAAGACAAAAAGGGAAAAAAAAAAAACAAAAAAACATAGTTTTATTAAATAATTAAATAATTATATTAAATACCAAATATCAGTAAAATACATGGAAAATATAAGATAAGGAAACAACAAATACTCATGTACTCACCATCAAGTTTATTACTTTTGACATTTCCTGAGTGGGACTTCAATACCATTCTATTTTCTGAGCGAGGTGTGGGAGCAACGCCGAGGGTTGTGATCCCGTTGCCGGTCCCGGTCCGGTACGGGCGCGACACTGAGGGTTGCGATCCGTTGCCAGACGTGAAAAAAGACAAAAAGGGAAAAAAAAAAAACAAAAAAACATAGTTTTATTAAATAATTAAATAATTATATTAAATACCAAATATCAGTAAAATACATGGAAAATATAAGATAAGGAAACAACAAATACTCATGTACTCACCATCAAGTTTATTACTTTTGACATTTCCTGAGTGGGACTTCAATACCATTCTATTTTCTCCTTTCTCAGAGGCAACCACATTCCTCTATTTTGTGTTCATCATTTTCATTATAATTTTATCACATATATTTGTATGCATCATTTAGTTTTTAATATTTTTGAATTTTGTATACTTGGAATCATAGTGTATGTTTTCTTTTGCAATGTGCTTTTCATGACCAACCTTATGTTGGTTATTTTTAACTATGTTGCTGTGTGTATGTTTAATTTTTAATGTGATATAGTATTCCATTTTATAAAGAAACCGCACATTATTTGTTCTGTGTTGATAGACATGTAGAGAGTTTCCAGTTTTTTGCTATTAACATACAGTACTCCTTTAAACATTTTTGAACATATATAGGGCATATGTTTAACCAGTTGTTGCGGGTATATAAGAATGCAGTCAATGTTTTTGTTCATTGATTATACATCTAACCAATCTGCAAATTCCTTATTAATTTTGAATACTTATCATTAAATTCTTTGAGGTTTTCTAATCACTCTGTCCCAACTTCCAATTTACATGCTATGATAGTCTAATGTTTAATCCTATTTTTACTTTTAATACATAAATTAGACTTTTAAAAGCATTATTATTTTGTATATCCAATGAGTATTTATTTCTACTTGCATGTTAACTAATTTCTTTGCTCTGCATTTCTTCTTGAATCTCACATTTTCCTCCTAGAGTTATTATCTTACCTCTTGAAATATAGTTCTTAGAACTTGGTGAACTCTCTGTTTTTAATTGTTAAGAATGTCTGCCTTTCAACCTTGTTCTTGAAAACAATAGTTTTCCTGTGTACACAACCCTAGGTAGTTATATTTTCCAGCTCATTCAGAATATTTTTGCTGCTTTCTGCCTTTTATTGTTGCTTTGAAGAGTCTGTTATTGGTCTAATTGTCATTCCTTTATGGTTGATCTATCTGTTCTCTCAGGCTGCTTTTAAATTATTTTTTAAAAGGAATTTATATATTTTTAAATCAACATGTATTGATTGTACATATTTATGGGATACAGAGTTATATTTCAGTACATGTATACAACGTGTGATGATAACGGTAATTAGTGTACACATCATTGCAAAGCTTACATTTCTTTGTGATAAAACATTTGATTTCCTTTCTTCTAGGCATTTGAGAACATACAATAAGTTATTGTTAATTATAGATGCCTAGCATTACCATACACCACTAAAACTTATTTTTCCTATCTAGCTGTAATTTTGTGTCCATTAACCACCCTCTCCTTTTGCCCCTCCTCACCTCTAGTAACCACAATTCTACTCTCTACTTCTAAAAGTTCAACTTTCTTTTTTTAGCTCCAACATATGAGTGAGAACATGTGGTATTCTTTTTTCTGTGCCAGACTTATTTCACTTAACATAGTGTCTTTCAGACTCATCCGTGTTGCTGCAAATGACAAGATTTCATTCTTTTTCATGGCTGAGTAATATTCTAGTGTGTGTGTGTGTGTGTGTGTGTGTGTGTGTGTGTGTGTGTGTGTGTACATACACCACATTTTCTTTATCCATTCATCTGTCAATGGACACCTAGGTTGATTCCATATCTTGCCTATTGTGAACAGTGCTGCAGTAAAAATGGGGGTGCAAATATCTCTTCAGTATATGAATTTCCTTTCCTTTGAATAAGCACCCAGCAGTGGGATTGCTGAATTATATGGTAGTTCTACTTTACATTTTCTTTTTTTTTTTTTTTCCCTTTTTGTCTTTTTTCGTGTCCGGCAACGGGATCGCAACCCTCAGTGTTGCTCCCACACCTCGCTCAGCCAGTGAGCGGGAACCGGTCTGTATGTGGGATCCGAACCCTCGTCGGGAGCGCCGCCACGCTCCCAAGCGGCGCACTGTAGCATGTGCCACCGGGCCGGCCCCTCTACTTTACATTTTCTGAGGCACCTGCATACTGTTTTCCACATGGTTATACTAATTTACATTCCAACCAGCAGTTTAAAAGAGTTTCCTTTTCTCCACATCCTCACCAACATTTGTTATTTTTTGTCTTTTTAATAATAGCCATTTTAACTGGGGTGAAGTGATATCTCATTGTGGTTTGATTTTCATTCCCCTGATGACTAATCATTTTTTTAGGAGTTTTTAGCATTTTTTCATATACTTGTTGGCCATTTGTATGTCTTCTTTTGAGAAATGTCTGTTAAAGTCATTTGCCCATTTTTTTATTGGGTTATTATTATTATTATTTTTTGCTATTGAGTTGTTTAAGTTCCTTGTATATTCTAGGTATTAATCCCTTGTTGGGTGAATACTCTGTAAATATTTTCTCCCATTCTGCTGCTTAATTCTTCACTCTGATAATTGTTTTTTCTGCTGTGCAGAAGCTTTTTAGTTTGATATACTACTATATGTTTATTTTTGCTTTGTTCCCTGTGCTTTAGAAGTCTTCTTCATCACATTTTTGCCCAAACCAATGCTTTGGAATGTTTCCCCTATGTTTTCTTCTAGCAGTTTTATAGTTTCAGGTCTTACATTTAAGTCTTTAATCCATTTTGAGTTGATTTTGGTATATGGTGAGAGATAAGAGTCTAGTTTCAATCTTCTGCATATGGATATCCAGTTTTCCCAGCAACATTTATTGAAGAAGCTGTCCTTCCCCAATGTATGTTCTTGGTGCCTTTGTCAAAAATCAGTTGTTTGTAGACATGTGGATTTATTTCTGGGTTCTCTATTCTGTTTCATTGGTCCATGTGTGTGTTTTTATGCCAGTACCATGCTGTTTTGATTACTATAGCTTTGTAGTATATTTTGAAGTCAGGTGGTGTAATGCCTCCAGCTTTGTTCTTTTTGCTAAGAATTACTTTGTCAGGGTGCTTTTAAATTGTTCTCTTTGTTTGGCCTTCTATAGTTTTACTACAGCATGTCTAAATGTGGCCTTTTAAAGAAATCTTAGTATACATTATCATTATTGTATCTTATTTCTAGAAAATATATAGCTATTACCTCTTAAATATTGACTCTCTTTTATTCTCTCTACTCCTGCCTTTACGGTCACCAGTTATATATATTTTAGACCTTCTCATTTTATCCTTCATTTCTCCTAACTTCTCTTTTATATTCCCATTCTCCTGTCTCCCTCAGCTACGTTAGGGGTAATTACATTAGATCTGTCTTCCAGTTGACTAAGTCTTCTTCAACTGAGTCCAATCTATTGTTTACCCTATCCAGTGAACCTTTAATTTTAGTGATTACATATACTTTTTGACTTTTAAAAGTTCTATTTGGTTCTTTTTCAAATCTGTCTGGTCATTTTGACAGTCTTTCTTCCATACTCACTTTTTATCTTCTTTTTTAAAGTTTTTCTTACATGTTTTATAGATAGGTATTTTATATTCTTCATGTGTTAATTCCAACATCAGAAGTCCTTAGGGGACAATTCTCATAATATCTTATTTCCTTGCAGACTTGGAGTTATTTTTTCTTTGTAAATACATACTCCTTGGGAGATTCAGAGGCCTAAAATATCATCCTGGTAATATTCTACATCTTTTTTGACGTGTTTGCATTACATTTTATACTCTTTTCTGTAAAACAGGCTGACTGCACAGCAGCTATAAAATCAAGGATGACCCTTCAGAGAGTTACCAAACTGGGGCAAGAGGGCTTGGCTTTGGGCATGACCTAACTTGAGAAGGGACATGACCTTGGGTGAGGTATTCTTCAGCTGAAGCAATTCCAGAAGGCTGACAGTTGAGGGTTGTCTACTTGTAGCACTTCCAGCAACTGGGGAAATAAATCCTTTAGTCTTGAAGGAGGGCCTAACCAATACATCATAATGTCTGCTATAAAGATCCAATAGAAAAATGGATAAATGTTGTGAACTGTCCATTTACTGAGAAATAAAACTGAATAACCAATAAACATATGATTTTAAAAATCTCATCCTCACTCATAAAATAACTACAAACTAAAACATAAGTGAAATGTCTTTTTTATCTATAAGGGAAAAATATAGTAAGCCATATAATATCAAGTGATTAATTTGTGCCAGCATGTGGGGGAAATAAAAACTTTTACACATTGTCATGGGTGTGTTCGTTGGTGTAACCATTTGGAGGTCAATTTTGACAATACCTAGTTGAAGATGAAGATATCTTTCAACTCAGTAATTCTCCTTCTAGGTATCTAGCCTAGAGAAAAATCTCACACATGTACTACAAGGTACATGTAAAGGAAACATATTAATTGCAACATTATTTGTAATAGTGAAAATAAATGGAAATAACCTAAATGTTCCTTATTAGGAGAATGGATAATTAAATTGTGGTTTATTCGTGCACTTTGACAAATGAACTAGTATCAATATAGACACCCAAAATTATAATGTTGAAAGAAAAAGTTGCCAAAGGGTATACATGTATACTGCCATGATGTAAATATTGAAAACACACATATAAAATTTATGTAGTTGATGGATGTATACATACGTACAAAACATACAACTTTAGCTGAATCGAAAACAGATACAAAAGCACATTAGGCAAAATGTGACGTACCTTTTTCATCTAGATAGTCATTATGTATGGTTATTTTTTTTCTGTACATTTTATAGTTAAATATGAAAATAAATTTTTAAAGATTTAGACTGTACTCTTTTTTCTGGATTTATCACTTGTGCTGAAAGAGAATGTAGAGGTTTTGTTTAGAGAACTGCTCAGTTAATACTTATGCCAAATGTAGTTTATTGAGGATTCCACATATGTCTTAAGTCTCTGGTTTCTTAAAAATAGGATGCTGCGCCAACAGAGTCTTTGCTGAACTGGCAAGACTATGAGGGTCGAACACCTCTTCATTTTGCTGTCGCTGATGGAAATGTGACAGTGGTTGATGTCTTGACCTCGTATGAAAGCTGCAACATAACATCTTATGATAACTTATTTCGAACTCCACTTCACTGGGCAGCTTTACTGGGTGAGTTGAATGTGAATCAAAGAATCAACAGTAGGAGAAACTACGTGAATATACAAAAATTTCTTTGCCTTCTCTTCCCTTTTGGCTCCTACCTCCTATTTAATTATTTTAATTTCTAATTAGTGTGTTGCACTATTTTATAAGTTAAGTCCCTCTATTGTATTATTAAAATTTAGTAATACAAATGTGTTCTCTGTTAAATATTAGTTTTTGTCTCAATATCATCGCTTTTTAAATTTTTCTTCTAAAAGTAATGCACATTCATTGACAACATGTAAATGTAACATAATCCTCTTTTCACATTCAATGCCTTTATTTGGGGAGAGGAGGGCTTGAATTTTGTTTGTGATAATACTACATTTGATTTTTTTCCTCCATATTTTCCTGATATGGAGGAAAATCTTTTTGCAAATCACATTTTTAGATGAGAGAGTGTATATATATATATATATATATATATATGTTATATGTATGTGTTGGTTTTCTTGTGTGTTAGGGTGACAAACTGAGAGTCTTTTTTAATGAAAGAGTTTCACCCCTTAGTAGTCATTGTTATGAGATAAATAATTTGGTCTGTTCTCCTGCTATTCTATTATTAGTGTTTTTCAGTTTTTTTCCTTAATGTTTTTGTTCCTGTTTCCTTTGTTTCCTGCCTTTATGATGTATGGATTAGGTTAATTGTTATTTGGATTTGAATTGCCTAATGTTTTAGGAGGGTTTTTAGGTTCTTAGTGGTTACTTTTACATGTATCAAAAACTTTTTTAAGCCTGAATCAGTCAATAGCAAAACTGCACCTACCAGTTCCCACCTACTTTAAACAAAGAATTTATCACAATTTTACTCATCACTCTTTCAGCATTTGTTAATAATCTGAGGCGTTTTCCTCCAATTATCATTTTCTTAATCTTAGTTTTTATATTACACATTATTTCTTCTGAAAATGATATTTATACTTACATTCAGGTTTATAGTCAGATTGGTAATTATCATTTATACTTCATATCAGTGTGCAGTTTCACCCCTTTTTCCTTGTCCTCTGGATTCTGGGTGTACTTGGCAAATTTGTCTCCACATCACTAAATTGACTTTTTGTTCCATAAGTTCTGCTTTCCTTCTGCCTCCTGTATAGATTGTATTTTGGATTGTATTTTTTATTCCCTTCTCTCATTTATATTTCTTTTTACATCATCTTATTTCTTTTTCACCTCCTTCTATTACCTTTTCATTTCAGTCTGTTTTCTTTTTAGGATATTCTGTTTCTGTTTCATAGAAGCTATCTCTTTTTGCACTAAGTTGAGGACCAGTTTCCTGAAATTTTCTTCTGGATCCTTCTCTGAATCATTTTCAGAGGTATGCTCTTTGTCTTTCTGATGGCGTTCCTTTTCCCCTGTCCTACATATGTGTTCATCTAGTCCTTACTGAGTTTTTCTCTTTATTACTCAAACAAGATGAGATGTGTTTAGGTTAACTATGTAGCACAGATTTTCTCTGATCCTACATTTGTGCTATAGAGAACTCCATCTTAAACCATATCTGGAGAGCAGATAGATGACCACCACTCCCATTCAAATTTCTTTTTTCTGCCTGGCTTTCCTGCAGTGTATCCTTGCTCTGCTAATATGGCATCTTCTTCATCGCCTGGTTTCCCAATACACTGAAGCAATAGAGTGTATCATTTCAGGTTTCCTACATATACTACTACCAGGTGTGTTCATTCTTTGATCTTTCCAGTTCTTCACTTGTGGAGACCACATCCACCAGAAGGCACTGCAGAATACTGTCCCTACCACAATAACCACACACTTGCTTTCTGGAATTTGAAATCTCTTGTAACTGCCCTCTTGTTTTCTCAAATTTGAAATCATTGTCCAGATGTTAAAAGATTGGGGGAAGGAGATTAGAGGGGATGTACAGGGGGCCTCAGAGATAGAAGATATATTATAATTCATCCACCTGAACAGAAGAGGAGAACAGCTGTGTAATTCTGGTTGATTAGGTAATGGAACCTTGAGACTTGGGACAATGAAGGCTAAGAGGACCTCACTCTTGCACACTTCCCTCCTTTGTTACAGACAGTTTTATAAAGTGAAGCCAGGGAATGCAATGAGGTGATACCTAATATAGTTTTTTCTCAGTCTGAAAATTATAATTAATGTCATTTACTTTCTGGTTGAAACATTGTTTTTAGTGTTCTTAGTCTTCACCTTTTTTTTACCTTATCATAGTACATTAGTGAGAAGTTAGAAGAGGCTGCATTGGGGCTGCTATTCAAAAACCATTTTGAATTCTATATTACACGCTAGTGATTTTCTTTCCCCTTTCTCATAAATAGAACCTTATCATAGTACATTAGTGAGAAGTTAGAAGAGGCTGCATTGGGGCTGCTATTCAAAAATCATTTTGAATTCTATATTATACGCTAGTGATTTTCTTTCCCCTTTCTCATAAATAGGTTATAAGTTAATTAGTGTCCTTTGTATGTGATAACTACCGTGATGTGTCTGTTCTTAGGCCATGCACAGATTGTCCATCTTCTTTTAGAAAGAAATAAGTCTGGAACTATCCCATCTGACAGCCAAGGAGCAACACCTTTGCACTATGCAGCTCAGAGTAACTTTGCTGTAAGTAAAACAAAACATCTGGGAACTAGGAAAACCTTGGCCAGAATTCTGACTGCAATTTGCTAGCTGTATGACCATATACAAGTTTCTTAACTTCTCTGAGTCTCAGTTTCTTCATATGTAAAATGAGGATAATTATACTTTTTCCTTCAGAATAGTTGTAAAGATTACAGAAAGTTTATGACAAGTGACTGCTATAGTCCTTGGCATAGAGCAGGTACTCAAGAAATAGAATGTATTCTTATTGTTACTAATTAGTGCTAATAATTATGTGTATTATATATCTGAGAAAGTAAAAATATGAATTATTTCCAAAAATATGAATATTATTAATAGTTATTTCCTTACAGCCCTTGATAGTTTCCAAAGCACTTTCTCATAGATTATGTCCTCAATCCACTCTCAACCCACTCAGCAACATAACAGTTCTAGGCTACTTTAGCTTTCTGAGTATGAATGGCAATCAACAATCAGAGATTCATCCCAAGAGGCACTTGTTAAAGCAGTCACAGTTGATTTTGCTGCCTTTTACTTGGGTGTGCATAATGAAACCATGGTTTCATTAAATTACAATAACATTATAATTAGCATAGTATAATTCCATCTTCGTGAGCTCTGCAAATGCTCTATTGAGTACTCAGATTGCTAAAATATCCTATTTTCATGTCCTCCATACTCTCTGGTATCCAGAACAATTATAGCTATAGTCCTTCCTTCTTGGCATTCCTGAAAATTTATTCAATTTATCACCTAGAGTTTTGGCAAACCATTATCTTCTATTATCTCCCAACATCTCAGAAAAATACGAAGTAGTATTTTGAGGAGGAGCCTCTTTCTTATTACAAATATCTAAGAAACTAACTTAGCCCAGTGTAGTCAATCTATGGAAATTAGAACACAAACCATAATTCAACACAAGCCTATAAGATAGGTCATGTTTTTTCCTGTTTATAGATAAAAAGAAAACAAATAAATAAACAAAAAACCCCAAGGTTCCAAGAGATTAAATAACTTGCTCACAGTCTTGTAACCAAGTCTTAGACTCCAAATATAATATATGTACAGATATCGATAATTACAGAACTGTGTCAGTGGGAGTAGCAAAGAATGGTAGAACTTTATGGATGCTTATTCAAAGAAATATTGGCTTTGGATAAACTGCCAATTCCAGAATTGATTTTTAATAATTATGCAGATTTTATAAGCTCAGTTTCAAGTCCCTGGATCTCCTTGTCCTCTATTAACTCACAAGAGGTTGCATCTTTCTTTTTGAAAAACACCGAAAATACAAAAACAAAACTCTGCAAACATTCATTAAGAAAAAACATAGTCAACAAAAACATGTTTGCAAATTAATAAAAGAAAACAAACCAAAAAAAATACCAACTTTTTAAATTCATTTCTTTATACTTAATGAGCATACATACTAGACCTTAGGAGCACTAAGCTATTACACCTCAGTAACTCCATAAATAGTTCTAAGACTAGGAAGTAATGTATGATGCAGTGGAAAGAGTGCTGTGATTTAGCCCTGGGTTCCTGTATCTGCCACCAGTATTTGTATGACCTTGAACCTAAGTTTCTTCATCTGTAAAATGAGAAACTGGATTATCTGAGCCCTTGAATTTCTTGTTGCTCTACAATGCTGAAAGTCAACATTTTAACATTTTTGGTCAGCTGACAGCCTTCGAGAATTTTTTTCTGAAACTCTTTGACCTCTGTTCAAGCAAAAGTTTCCATGATCTTCCTAAAAGTTTATAAGAATATGAATTTTCAGGAAGAGGCAATTTAAAATGCTGGAATATTAACCCTCATTAAAATTGTTGAGCACTATTAGAGTTGTCAAGGGTCCTAATTTTTGTGTGATTCCATAGAGGAAGGACCTTGCATATCGGAATTGCTGAATAAATATTTATTTAAGTGAATTGAATACTGCATTTCTCAGTAATCATCAATCAGTATTCAATAAATGCATTAACCGTTTTTTAACAATTTTAAAACACACAGTGAGAGAATGTATTTACCTTCTCTGGAAGCATGCCTTAATATATGGGTGTTTGCATGTAAAATATCCAAGAAAAATGTATATTTTAATGTTGGTCATGACACATGACACTGAATACTTCTGAGTCTTTTTTTTTTTTTTTTTTTCCGTGACCGGTAAGGGAATCGCAACCCTTGGTGTGGTGTCGTCCGCACCGCGCTCAGCCAGTGAGCGCACCGGCCAGTCCTATATAGGATCCGAACCCGCGGCGGGAGCGGCGCTGCACTTCCAGCGCCTCACTCTCCTGAGTGCGCCATGGGGCCGGCCCTGAATACATCTGAGTCTTTTAACCGTCACTTCATCTCTCTAACAGTGACCTATGAAGTTTTCAAGTTTGATTGAAGATGATCATTCTCAGTTTTGAGGATACTGAATGAAGGAGTTAGGTTATATACTTGAAGTGTTATGGAAACTAAAGCTAATATAAGGATAGAGGATTGTTATTTTCAATGGAAATTGTAGGTTTGTTATTCATACAAATATAATTTTGTTTGATTCAAAAGCGGGGGAAAATGCTTTGCTTTTTAGTGGGCACATATAATAGTGGCCTTGTTACCGTAGAAAATGTTACTCTCTTTTCTCAATTTTTTAAGTGAAGTTTTCTTACAGGAAACAGTCAAAGTGTTTTTAAAACATCCTTCAGTGAAAGATGATTCTGACCTCGAAGGAAGAACATCCTTTATGTGGGCAGCAGGGAAAGGCAGTGATGATGTCCTTAGGACCATGCTGAGTTTAAAATCTGACATTGATATTAACATGGCAGACAAGTATGGAGGTACAGGTAAGAACTGGTAGACAGATTCCATTTGCTTTTGTACAGCTTCCAAAGTGTAGATGGTGCTATAAAACTTGTAAACTAGTAGCTTGAAGTTGTTGTTCCTAGTCTAATATTGTTTGACTTTGATTTTCACTTTTCAAGTTTGGGTTTGCCAGGATATCACTCCAAAGGCTTTATTTCTTCCAAAAGTATGGCTAAAATTAGCATATATTTCTATGAGGTGAATGGTGGCATTTGGTTTTAAACTCTGGTTTACTCCTTAGACATGATTATGGGAATGCTAATGATCGTTTATCTAAAAAAAACCCATAAACCTGTACTTTAAAACTATGCATATTTAGTAGTTGTAAACTATATTTTCGAGAATTTAGAATTATATGTTAAGGAACGTACACATCTAAATGTGTTCTCACCAGATTCATTTGCTATGCTCTTTTCCCAGGTTTGAATATCATTCCTGCATCCTGAATCTCCCATTTTTAGAGATAATTTCCCATGACTCTATAAGCTTCAAAGCTTCAAGTTAGCCTTGCATCCAAATTTCTTAAGATTTCTTTTAATCTCTTTCTCTAATAGGAGAGACCTTTAACTATATGTTGGTTAATAAGAGAGGCACAAGTTTTTTAGCGTTCATTGTCAACTTGGAGATCTCTTTCTTGTATACGACATCCTAACTGCAAGTCAGAAAGAGAAAGAAAAATCACACACCAGCACCACAGCACTACACAGAATGAAAACTCAGCAATGAGCTTCTCAGTGTCATGTTATTTTATTTGTTGAAATGTGCTAGAGCCATTTGCACCCACCTACTGTCCTGGATAAGATCTTTCTTGGCCACCAAAACTATTCATGCAGCACTGGGAGGAGAGAGGGGAGGGGAGTTGCTACACTTGATAATCTCCCTCCCTATATCAGACCCTCCACATTATTTTTTAAGAGTTTTTAGGCAATATTAATTTTGAGATAAAGCTTTAACTTTCAAAAGTATTTCTTTATCAAAGCCTCACAGCAGATCTTAAGTTTTTTAAGGGGTGTAGTATGGATACATAGATATTGAGTTTATAAATAATCTGAACATTTAATTTTTCATCCGATTTCTATTAATTTGCAGTCTTCCACTTTCTTACTAGTCTTGCTTTTAGTTTAACTTTTTCATGTATTTTAATAAGGTATGGGAAAGGATGCTTGCATCCTTTTGACTAAAATTATCTTTCTGATGTGTACTATGGTTGGAGTTCAGACATAAATTTTTCTCAGATTCATAAATTCCCTGGGTTCTCTCTCCTGTGTGGGTTTTATTGTATGTCAGAGATGACTTCCTGACATTTCACTTCTATGAAGATGAGTTCCTCTCCATCATTCCACTGCAGAATTGTTTTTTCCTTCCCATTAAAAAGAGGTTTTTCCAATAACGATATATGGACATTATTTGGATCCTAATTCGAATAACTGAATTATAAAAATTTATAAAGCCATCAGGAAAATGTGAACACTATCTGGATATTAGATGCTATTACAAAATTTCTGTTAATACCTTTTAGGTATGATAATGACTTATGGTTATACCAGCTATTAAGCTATTATCTCTCAGCTTTAAGCTTAGCCTGTTATCCTTTCTTTGTAATGCTGGGCCTGGCACTCTGCAAATCACATTTCCCCTTTGCCAGGTGGTGCCCTCATAGAATCTGCCAATAGGGGGCAGTAGAGGGAGACTGGAAGGCTGGAAGAGCGAGAAGGGATTATATCTTCCTGTTTGCTTCCTGTTCTTGTTCTTGTTTTTGTTTCCCGCTGTGGCCTGTGTCACCCCAGTAATGCTTCTTCCACACAGCAGTGATAGTTTGTTTTAGTGACAGTAATTAATTTCACTCTGCAGTTTTCCCATCATTCATAGTAGCAGCCTCAGAGCCTCCTCCTCAGAGACAACACCAGCCAAGCAGAGCTCCACTTCAGAGGTCTGAGTTTCTGCTGTGCAGAGCTCTTCTAAGCTTTTAGGTTTTAATAATTCGATCCTCTTCTTCCTGTTCCCCCAGTCCTAGGATTGTTAGCTATTCCCACATTTGCTACCTCTGTGAAACCTGCATGTTCTCTTTTTGCCTTTTCACTTCTTTAATACATAACTAACAATTATTTGTATTGAATTCTCTCCGTTAAAATATCTGGAGTGGTTTCTGTCTCCTCACTGGACCCTGACTAATACAGTGGTATATTGTAAAAAAAGAATCCTTGTCTCTTGGAGATACTTATAGATGAAAAGATATTTATTTATGGATGAAAGGATATGACTCTAGAATTTTCTTCAGTACAGTCAGAAGCAGGGAGAATGGATGGTGGTTAGGTGAAACAAGATTAGCCATATGTCAATGATTGTTGAAGCTGGGTGATGGCCATATTGAGTTCACTGGACTATGGTCCTGAGTTTTGAATATGCTTGAAGTCTTCTTCCATAATATAAAGTTTTTTTGTTTTTTTTTTTTGTGATGGCCATATTGAGTTCACTGGACTATGGTCCTGAGTTTTGAATATGCTTGAAGTCTTCCATAATATAAAGTTTTTTTGTTTTTTTTTTTAAATTAAAGTTCTTATATAAACTTAGGTTGCTTTGCCTCCCACGGATTTGTCACCCCTTTTCCCCTGGGTGACAGAGCCACCAAAGATTACTCAAAGCCCATCTCTTCTAAGCAGTGAGAAGCCCCAGGGTTAATTTCCCGGAACCCTCAAGAGCGAGGCATTCCTTCCATTTGGGAAATTAACCACAAATTGGGGTTCTCTTCCTGCATTTATTCTCCAGCCCAGGAAGTTATAGGAAGAGAACATAGGTGGGGTGTTTGCTAAGTACAGTTTAACAAGTTTAACAATAGAAGCTGGTAACATGCAATTAAGTTGATCCACTAACAAAAGCTTGATTTTAGCAAACATTCTCTTCTTACAGCACTTTCACAGTATCTTTACATATCAATCAGTAACCTGTCTGTCTTTGAGCTAGCAGCCTTGCTGTGTTACAAATGTTTTATATGTTGGATGCTTTATAAATTTTCATGGGTGGGGGGAGTTCTTATGCTTTTAAAATGTGAAAATCACTGAACTATCATCATAGATATTATACCATGCATTCATCTGCCTTATAACATTCTCACCAGTGGTCGTTAGCCTCTGGCTAAACAGTTGCAATAAAGCAAACCCACTTTCCAACTCAACTCAACTCTATTAAAATGTTCTTCCTTACACTGAGCCAAAATTAGTCAAACAGAAAGTTCCACCCTGTGTTCTCTTCCACATGAAAGCACTTCAGATGTTTTGAAGACCTGTCTGAATCTTGTCTAGGTCAAACTAACATTCAGCCATTTAGGTCAGTGGTTCTCAACCTCAATGCATAAGAATTATAAGGACGTTTGTTTACATGCAGATTCCCAAGCTACAGACAGATTCCCATCTCCCATCTCCACTCCTACCACCATAATTCAAGCCACCACCAGTTTTCACTCTGGCTACTGCAATAGTGTTAACTGATCTCCCTGCTTCAGTTCTAATTTACTGCCATGCATTCTCCTCAGAACAGCTAGAGTGATGCATTTAAAGCATAAATCATAAAATATCACTGCCCTATTTAAAGCCCTTTAGTGTCTTCCATCACACTGACCTATATGGCCATTTATGATCTGGCCTTTTCTACCTTTCCCACTGACCTCACGCTGACTTACTGCACTGCAGCTACCCTTGCCTTCCTTAAACACACACAGTCATTGCTGTCCTTTACTAACTGTTCTCTTTGCCAAAGCACTCTTTTTTTATGGTTCAGGTCTTAACTTAAATGTCAGCTCCTCTGCAAGGCTTTCCCTAACCACCAATCAAAAGTGGCCCCCAATCACTCTACATATCAAAATATCTTTTATTACTTTAGTCACACAATTCATCACTGTCTAATACTTTATTGAAGAGGGGGATGTTTCATTTTGTTTTGTTTAGCCTTGCTTCCCCTACTAGAATGTAACCTTATCTGTTTTGTTCCCTGCTAAATTCCCAGCATTCTAATAGTACTCAGCCCCAGAATCTGCATTTTTGCAGACATCTCAGGTTTGCTCCCTTATCAAAGAGACACAGTTCTAAGCAGTATAGAGCCATTAAACTGAGAAAGAACTGGCCCAGGCCTCTAATCTGTTATTGTGGCTAATTCATACATAAAGAGTAATGGCGTAAATCAAGCACTGCATGGAATAACATAGGCAGGGATCATTGTAACATGAAACACATATAGTCAAAATTACTCCTACAAACCCCTCAGGATGGCACCAGAGAGGAGACCACATTTGAGCTCTCAGTTTTTTTCTCCAATGTTGAAACAAATCGCTGTTTCTTAAATTGAACCCTGAGGAATTAATTGACTTGCCTTTGGAGCCACGCTGTATGAAAAATGTGCTCAATGCAACAAGACGCTCAGCCAGTGAGCGGGAACCGGTCTCCACATGGGATCCGAACCCTCGGCGGGAGCACCGCCACACTCCCAAGCGGTGCACTCTCCAGTGCACCACCAGGCCGGCCCTCCACGAACTTTTTGAAGTACCCATGTACATGTGCATAGGAAGGGAGGTAGAAATCTGTAAAAGTGAAAACAAACTAGAGAATCCTTAAGATTTAGATTACACTTAGCCAAAATGATGGGGAAATCAAAAGAGGAAAAGATACCTAGTTAGAGTAATAAAAAGGTAAAGTGGTTATTAAAAGAGTTTGTCACTTTCTTTTGCTTCCTTTTTAGCCTTACACGCTGCTGCCCTTTCTGGCCACGTTAGCACAGTGAAGTTATTACTGGAAAATAATGCTCAAGTAGATGCTACCGATGTCATGAAACATACCCCACTTTTCAGAGCCTGTGAGATGGGACACAAGGATGTGATTCAGACACTCATTAAAGGTAACTTAATAAGAGTACTCCTAATAAGTTACTCTCAAAAGGTAGGGATTCTTGAATGCTCAGTTTGAAATAAAGCTTTACATAGCAGAGAGACGCACAGGTAGAAGGACGAAGGGAAGGGCACCCACCCTGGCATCGGGAAAGCCAAGTTCTCTCCTAGCTCCACCTGTTGGGAGTTGTTTGATTTTGGAAAAGTCACTTCACCTGCCTGATCCTCAGTTTCATTTAATGCAAAAAGAAGTGATTCCTTCCCTGACCAACTTACAGGTTTTTTGTAAAAATCTGAAGGAGACAGTGTATGTGGAAGCATTTTGATTAGAGTAAAGCATTTAAGGGATTGTTATATTTTAAAACTTCTATTCTTTTTAATAAATACTATCTATATTAGACGTTTTCATTATTATTATGCTTTTCTAGGTGGAGCAAGGGTAGATCTAGTTGACCAAGATGGACATTCTCTTCTACATTGGGCAGCTCTGGGAGGAAATGCTGATGTTTGCCAGATATTGATAGAAAATAAGATCAATCCAAATGTGCAAGATTATGCAGGAAGAACCCCTTTGCAGTGTGCTGCATATGGAGGATATATCAACTGCATGGCAGTGCTCATGGAAAATAATGCAGACCCTAACATTCAAGACAAAGAGGTAGCAATTCTGGGTCTTTTCTATAAGTTTGCTCCAAAGTGTTTGAAGTATTTCTTCTTTGTTGTAAACTGAAGTAAAACAACAGTTTACCAAATGAAGACATCACCCACAAATCCATCTGTTAATTATGATTTTTATTTGTCTATGTTTCCTTCCCTTCCTTGTCTATATCTATTTATAATTTAACATGGTCATAATATAGACTAAGAGTAATTTTATAAATTTTATAAAATATATATACATGCCATATGTAGGTATGTATGTATATGTATATAAATATATATTATATGATGTTACAAACCACATTTTTTGTTTTACTTAAAATTATCACCAAGATTATCCCACTTGATATATAATCTTTTTCATAATCATGAGTGATTAATATTCCAAAGTTCTAAGAACTTTATGTTTAATAGCTCATTCAGTCCTCACAGCAACCCTGTAAGGTATTTACTGTTATTATTCCCATTTTAGTGATATGGAAATTGAAGCTCATGTAGTTTAAGTAATCACCATAAGGTGATAATAGTGGAGGGTTGGGGAGCCAGGGTCCAATCTATGCCTTTAACCCAAATTTTAGAATTAAATTGTCCTATTAAGTATCCTTTTGCTGGACACTTTTTCATTATTATACTGTCGCAGTAATCTTTGTGCATTTAATTTTTTTCTTTTGGGTCATTTTCTTAGAAGAATTCCCCCTGAGATTTTGAATCAAAGCAGCAAACGGTATATGAATGTGATTATGCTGTGATATATACTGCCAAAATGATTTCTAAAAGATATAGGTTAATCTATACTTCCCTATGTAGTAATGTACCAATTTCTCTCAATTTAGCCAGTATTTACTTTTTTGGGCCACTTTAATTTAACTCTTTAAAAATATTAGCATATTAATTATGTTTCCCAAGTCAGAAAATATATTTCCTATTAACTCATTCAACAAATATTTATCAATATTGTCACAATATGTGAAAGTGACATAATGAAAAATATGTAAAATATGGTCCTTATCCTTATGTTATTAGGAATGCATTTTTTATAATTTGTATTGCTATTTCATAAGAATGCATGAAGCATTACTAGAGGTAAGGAGGAATATTTCATAGTGTTAAAGGAGTCAAAGAGAAAGATATCACAATCATAAATCTGTATACACCTAATAACACAGCTTCTAAATAAATAGGGCAAAAACTGACGAATTTGAAAGGGGAGATAGTCAAATTCCTGATCATAGTGGGAGATTTTAACCCATCTTTTATAATTGTTGATAGAACAGACAAAAGAGCAGTAAAAAGATAGCAGACCTAAGCAACACAATTTTTAAATATGCCCTGATATATATAGAAAGTTGCAACCAACCAAGAAAGGCAGAATTAGTACTCTTTTCAAATGTACACAGACATTTATCAAAATCAGTCATATGCTGGGCCATAAGGATAGTCTCAGAAGAATGTCATTAAGCATTTATGACTTTTTATATTTTACCAAGTTGCCAATTTCTTACATAAGTAGTATATTAAGCTACTTTCCAGTTCTGTTAGTTTTTATGTGTATAGTTTTAGGTTATCTACATTAATAATCATGTCATCTATGGATGATATTTTTATTTCTTCACTTCCAATCCTTATGCCTTTTCATTTCTTTGTCTTGCCTTATTGGATTAGCTAGGACCTCCAACACAATGTCGAACAGAATTGGTAATAGTTGGCATCCTTAACTCATTCCGGCTTCTCAGAGGGCAAGCTTTCAATATTTTACCATTGGGTGCGATGTTTGCTATAGGTCTCCTTGTATTTCTGACTGCTAAGAGTTTTTAAAAATCACGATTAGGTTTTTCCCAAATATTGTTTATACATCTGTCAACAAGATGTATTAATTTTGTCCTGTTTTATGTTAATATGGTGAAATTACATTAATTTTTTTTCAAATGTTAAACCATCTTTGCATTCCTGGAGTAAGGCCTACTTTTGATGTATTGTATACTTTTATATATTTGGTATGGGTTGAATGTTTGTTCTCCAGGGGAGAACCATTCCTTGGCTTTTTGAGCTTCTGGAGGCTTCCATGAACATTCCTGTGTTCATGGCCCCATTCCTCTATCTTCAAAGCCAGCAATTGCTGGTTGAAACATTCTCACACTGTATTGCTCTGCCACTAACCTTGCTACCTCCCTCTTTCCCTTATACGGACCTTTGTTATTACATCAGGCCTATTCAGATAATCCAGGCTCATCTCCCCATCTCAAGATCAGCTGATTAGCAGCCTTAATTTTATCCACAACCTTAATTCCCCCTTTCCCTGTAACATAACATATTCACAAGTGCCAGGGATTAGGATGTGGACATCTTTGCAGGGGAGCATATTATTCTTTTGAGCCTTTTTTATGCCCAGCATATGACTGATTTTGGTTAATGTTCTGTGTACACGTGGAGTACTAATTCTGCCATTGTTTATTGGTTGCAACTTTCTGTATATATTACTTAGGGCATATTTAATAATTGTGTTGCTTAGGTCTGCTATCCCTTTACTGCTCTTTTGTCTGTTCATTCTATCAACTATTGTAGTGGATGGGTTAAAATCTCCCACTATGATCATGAATTTGGCTATCTCCCTTTTTTTTTTTTTTTGTCTTTTGTCTTTTTCCGTGTCCGGCAACGGATCGCAACCCTCAGTGTTGCCCCCGTACCGGACCGGGGACCGGCAACGGGATCGCAACCCTCGGTGTTGCTCCCACGCCTCGCTCAGCCAGTGAGCGGGAACCGGTCTGTATGTGGGATCCGAACCCTCGGGCGGGAGCGCCGCCGCGCTTCCCAAGCCGTGCACTATCCAGTGCGCCACCGGGCCAGCCCTGGCTATCTCCCTTTTTTTTTTTTTTTGTCTTTTCTCTTTTTCCGTGTCCGGCAACGGATCGCAACCCTCAGTGTTGCCCCCGTACCGGACCGGGGACCGGCAACGGGATCGCAACCCTCGGTGTTGCTCCCACGCCTCGCTCAGCCAGTGAGCGGGAACCGGTCTGTATGTGGGATCCGAACCCTCGGGCGGGAGCGCCGCCGCGCTTCCCAAGCCGTGCACTATCCAGTGCGCCACCGGGCCAGCCCTGGCTATCTCCCTTTTTAAGTTTGTCAGTTTTTGCCTTATATATTTAGAAGCTGTGTTATGAGATGTATACAGATTTAGGATTGTGATATCTTTCTCTTTGACTCCTTTAACACTATGAAATATTCCTCTTTATCTCTAGCGATGCTTCATGCTTTCATTAACTCTTATGACATTGAAATTTTTTAAGAATACAGGCCATTTATTTTACAAACCTTGATTTGATTTGGGTTTGTCTTTGTATCCTCATAATTAAATTCAGGTTTCACATTCTTAGTTCGGATGTTACATAAATGATATTTCCTTCTCAGGGTATCAGCTCTGGAGGCATATGATGTCCTTAACATAGTATTACTTATGGTCACTCGGTTAAGATGCTGTATGTTTTCTCCACTGTATTCTTAATATTTTCCCTTTTTGTAATTAAGCAATTTGGGGAGAGAATTGTTTATATCTTTGAGTTAGCATAAATAGCCACATGTCCAAAAACACTTACTTCAGATGTTCTTAATTATCGTTCATGCTTGTAGGGAAGAACAGCTTTGCACTGGTCCTGTAACAATGGATACCTTGACGCCATTAAATTACTGCTAGACTTTGCTGCTTTCCCTAATCAGATGGAAAATAATGAAGAGAGGTAAGCAGTTGATAAAAACTATTGTACTGTTGTTCATCTCACATCCTTTCTCCCAGATTAAAAAATCTTGAGTTTGGATATTGGTTCAGAAATAATAAGTGTAGTCATACGGAAACACTACACTAAGGAATCTTGAACCAGAAGAAAAGAGCAAAAGTAGTGCACAATGTTGATTTAGAATTATCAGATTTTATGGCTGTTCAGAACTTCACATATTACTTAGCTCATGTTTTGCAGATAAGAAAACTTTAGGCTACCTTCTGGCTTGTGGCTAGTATAAGGTCAGTGAAGTTCTAATTGACCAGGAACAGGAATTTGGTTAGGCCAGTAGAATGTGTTATATATTCAAAAGGTTTCACTTGACAGAGAGGATATTATCAGTTAGTGGACAAAGAGGTGCCACTAAGTAGTGTAAAAACATAAGGAGAAGCTAAGATGAAAGTTCAGAGTTTAATCTAAATACAGATTTCTTGAATAATGTAAGGTCCACAGGGTTATGCGGGGGTTGCTGCCCAAGGACCCAGACCTGAAGTAAAGTCTGAGCAGGAGAGATTCTTGGTGGTCTTGGATCTAGGAAGATTCTAGTAATTTGTAGGTAACAAAAAAGGTCAAGATCAGACTTCCATACCTGAGCTCTTTCCAGCCCAGGCCTGCGTGTTTGTTTTCACTGTTCAGGGATGCTCTAACTAAAGTGGCCCCTGCTATGACACCATCCTCATCCTCTTGGCCACCGCCAGTTCCTTCTTTCTGTTAGCAGGTGAGAAACTTTATAGAGAAGGAGGGATTTCGCTAGGCCAGCTGTCTCCGAGGAAACACGCTCCTCCTTTCTACAACCAACCCCGTTTCCACTTCATTCAGAACCTTTCCTCATTAGTGAGAGAGCTGAAAGATGTCTTCCTTTGAAACTCAAAAATAAAAACAGAGAGGAAAGATTAAGAATCCTAAGAATTAGTGACGACTTCTTTCTATAAAGAACTTATTCTATATGACAGCATTTACTGCCTGACTATTTTTTTAAGGAATCAACAAAAAATACATATTTTAAAGAATAAATTAAAATGTAGTTTTTGTAATTCAATTCTCATTTATGTGCTAAGCCTTGAATTTCAAACCTAGTAACTGCATGAATTAAGGTGCTTATGGTCTGGAATATGGTAATTACAGACCAAAAGAACAAAAGAAAAATCCTCCTAACTGTACTCGCCAATCTATAGATAAAAAGAGACGGTGGCAATATCTCAGTCTCTGTTAATGTTTCATCAGCAGTGCACCTTGACGTACACATGTCAGAACTTAGCACTCCCTATTATGTTTATTGACATTTCCGGTTTAGGCATTCTACTCATTCCATCAGACCATTCCCACATGGCAAGTCCAATTGTATCTTATCTCTTGTCTTTGTCTACATTGTTTCTTGGCTGGTTACCATCAATGTAGTGCTAATTCTTACTTCTCATGCATTGACAGTATCCATTGATGTACACGGTATAGACATAATTTTTGCCAACGTCTGCTGGCTTTCAGTCAATAACTATCTGACAGCCACATTCTAACACTGATGGGAATATTTACAGTACTTGAATGTTTCTAAATTGACTTTGGGATGAAGAATGATTCGGTAGTAATAATCACAATGTGGTCAGTCACTTAGACTTCAATCTTTCTAGATACTTAGAGTGTGTCTCTTTGAATCAAAAATTGACTGAGAATCCTAATTTGAATAAACCAACTGTAAAAAAGACATTTCTGAGAAAATTAGGTAAATTTGCTTATGGAGTGGGCATGAGATTTTACTGAGGAAATCCTGTTAACTTTATTAGTATAATAATGACATTATGACTATGGCCATATTATTTATAGATGAATACTGACATGCATAGAGATGAAATGAGAGTAGTTCTGATATTTGCTTTAAAAACTACATGAGATTTTACTGAGGAAATCCTGTTAACTTTATTAGTATAATAATGACATTATGACTATGCCCATATTATTTATAGATGAATACTGACATGCATAGAGATGAAATGAGAGTAGTTCTGATATTTGCTTTAAAAACTATAGCAAAAATAAAAAGGAAGGGAGTGGATGAAACAAATGTAGCAAAAAATCTTGCTAATTGTTAAATATGGGTGATGAGTATATAGGTGGTTAACTATTCTCTTTACTTTTGCTTGAAATTTTTCATAATAAAAATACAATTTTTTCCATAATAAAATACTTAAGATGCAATTTTTAATCCAGAAGCAGCCTGAGAGATCTAGTTGTTCTTCCCTCTTTCCTTTCCCCTTTTACAGATGAGGCAACAGAAGCTTGGAGAAGTTAAGAAAATGCCCAGGGTAACACAGGTCCCCTGACTCCCAGTTCATCATTCTTTAGGGTATATTATGCTACATGTTATTTCCTTTTGTCATATTTGTAAGTAAAGGGATAGTTTGGGACTTTTGTGTCATAAACCAGATTTTGATATTCCTGCTTATATATTATATGAAGGACACTACATATTAACAATTAGAGAAAAAATTATCAAACTAAATAAATATGTTATCTGCACATTGATTTTAGAAGCAGTTTTATTCTACTGGGAACATATTCAGTAATTGATATATGTGTTGTGGAAGGATTACTGAACTGGGAGTCATGTGATCTTAGTTCTAGTCTACATTCTGTAGAAACTAGTTCCATAAGCTTTAGCAAGTTGCTTAACCTTTTTGGGTGAGTCTGTTTATTCATTTATCAAATGAAGGTAGTACACTAAATGACCTCTAAAATTCAATTTACCACTACTATTGTGTGGTTTGATTACTCTATGATAATTTTTTTCCATTAGAGAAAGTACAGTCATAAAAGACATTTTAGAAAATATGGTAAAATTTTGTTTTTGTTTTTGTTTTTTTTTGGCAGCTGGTGGCAACAGGGATCTGAACCCTTGACTTTGGTGTTACAATGCCATGCTCTAACCAACTGAGCTAACCGGCCAGTCCCCTTAGTTAGTAAAATTTTGTAAAAAGTTCTTCTGAATTTGCAAATGCTATCTACTTACAAATAATGTTTTAAAGTTTGTATAGGCACCTCTACCTACGGACTGCTGGTCCCTGACCAGTAGTGGCAAATTGAGCTGTCCTAAAATAGGGACTCCTTAATTTCAACATTTGGGGCTTCCTTCCTTCCTTCCTCCTTCCTTACTGAAGTGACTAAATCAACCTTATACTGCAAAACTATTCCTTTTAAGTCTTATTGTGACTGTTAGGTTAGTTTTGAAGAGATTATTTCTTTTCTATAATCGCCAGATGATTTTCTGTGTCTAATCATGCAACCACATAAACATCACTTTTTCCACCTCATAAATTAGCTGACTATTTCCTCCTAATACTGCCGATTGCATTGGACTAGTCAGTCACCCAGGGAGGAATTGGCATCAGTGGTACTCATTGGGTAGCCATAAATACTAGTTTAAGTCCTATGGAAATAATATTTATGATAAGCAACCATGGCATCACAAACCACGCTGCAATGAATGTCCTGTTGTGCCTAGCACAATGCTATTCTCTTTACACTTATTATTTCATTTTCCTCATATGCTAACTCTGTGAAGTATTATCATGTTTAACAGCTGAGGAAAGCTGGGGCTTAGAAATATCAGGTAAGTTGTTTTAAAAATGACAGTCATTGTTACCATTGATGGATGTGGAAAATTTGGGTTTTTTATTTTTTTTTTACTTCAATTTTTGTAGTTTTTTGCACTGTTTGAATTCTTAAAATATATATCACTTTTTACAATGTAATCATTTTTCTTTAAAAAGAGAAAAGCATGGGCCGGCCTGTGGCTCACTCGGGAGAGTACGGTGCTGATAACACCAAGGCCACGGGTTCGGATCCCATATAGGGATGGCCGGTTAGCTCGCTGGGTGAGCGTGGTGCTGACAACACCAAGTCAAGGGTTAAGATCCCCTTACCAGTCATCTTTAAAAAAAAAAAAAAAAGAAAAGCATATCTGTCAACATATTAATGGTGGTAAATTTTGAGGGTGGGAATATGATGATGGTTATTTTCTTATATATTTTTATCTAATTTTTTTATATTTCCAAAAAATAAACAATATATATTAAAAAAAGGAATTTCCCTAAAATTTCACATCTAGAAAGTAGCCAATTGAGATTCAAATATATAACCATATGACAATAATACCCATCCTTTCTAAATAATATAATTATCATAAAAGTGATGTGTACACACTGTACACAGTTTAAAGGGGCATTTAAATGTCCCTTCTACTCCTGCCTCTGA